ATCCGTAGGTATGCTACAACAGTATAGAATGGGAGAATTGCCTGGGTCCATCAGTGTTGGTATGTTTTTATCAATGGATTTCAGATTGCTGAATTAAGAGGTATTTGTTTCCTTACAAGGGCAAATATCGCACACAAACTTGATGTGGAGACCCATACACATTAAATATTTACATTTGTCGGTTAAGAAATAAAAAAATTGTCCAGTCTTGCTAGCTTTTAACAGACATTGAAGTATATTCCTGATTCTACCCTGTTAGTACAATGGAAGGTGCTGCTTGGGAGATGAATTACCAGAGTTAAAGCATGCTCTATTTGTGCTGTGTCTCATCTTTGATTCTGGTCAAAAACCAGTTAATTAAATTATACACCTGATGTAGGCTGAAGGATTGGCTGAAACATTTAAAATTAAGAAAATGGCCACTTTTAAGAAAATTTTCTTAAATCGACCAAGAAGTTGAGATTTCGATCTATATAATTTTTATTTAAAATACACCAGAATACTGGCTGGAAATAGTAAATTTAATCATTTAGCGTTCAATTAATGCTAAAATGAAATCTTCAAGGATGCTTTTTCATCAAATTTTTCAAATTGGAGGAGGAATTTTTTGAAAAAACAGTCACAGCTTGAAAGATTTCGAAAAACAACTATTACTAAAGTTAAACTCCAGTTTATGATAAAATAAAATTTATAAAACTAAATTTGCTGCTTGTTAAGGTAATTCTCTTGGAGTTAGGAATGACACATGCCTTATAAGGAATATTGGGGGAAATTTGGTATGTTTTTATGGGTAAAGGGCCTGTTGGTTCTTATTAAATTTGAGTACTGAAATATCTCATATCCACCTTATTAATTACAAAAATGTCCAATGTTTATGAAAGAAGATAAAGATGGTTTTTATGCAAAAAAGAGTTATTCCCCCTTTGGAACCAAAGTAATATTTAACATCATTGTCTGAATTGATCTTAGCTCTGTAGATTATGCCTCCAGTCAGGCACTAGCCCTTTTGTTAGGCAGGTTACATTTTTACAGTAGTTGCATTAACTTTTAGTAGGGTTATTATTTAGTAGTTTGCTTGTGTGTTGGCTTAACATATATTATTATGCTGCGATATATAATTATTGATGTTTTTAGTACAGCTGTCGCTTACCTTAATATTATTTTTGTTGAAAATCTTTTTTAGTGTTGGAGAATGACCAAACAGTTTGTGAATAAAATTTAGAAAAATTCTACCTACATTAGTCTGGACGTTACTATTGTAAGGTGGGTTGAACCATATGATGTTATGCTTGTGTTGTTTCAGCTTATTTTTACCTTTGTTGCTTTTTTCCTTTCTAAATACTTTAATTTCACTTTATGGTTGCTGTATTCTAGCGTTGTACTATATCTAGTTTTATTATCGTCAAATATTTCTTTGTTACTGGAGTTACACTATTTACATTATTCGGACTATTGTCATTATCTTTGTTGCCATATTTATCACAACATTTCGGCTGTTGTACGCTCCAGATTTCTTCAGGTAGTTGAAATGTCGAACTGAACCATTTATTTCGCTTGCTGGGGTAGACTGTTCTCAAGGACACATGGCACAGTGGATAAAGGCATTAGTTAGATCCAGTGACAGGACCCAAAGAGTGTGATTTCAATACCTGGTTAAGGCGGTGGAGAACTTGGAGAGGGGAATTAACAGGAGATAACTGACATCCATTAGACATGGCACATAGAACTAGAACAGTCAACCCTAGTGAGCGAAATAAAGGGTTCAGTTCAACATTCCAACCACCTGAAGAAGGCTGGAGTGTACAAGGGCCAAAACGTGATAAATATGGTAACAAAGATGAGGACAATAATCCGAATAATGTAAATAGTGTACATAATACCTCATCTCAGTAATATAGACAGTTACTGTAGTTAGTTGATAACTTAAATTGTACTGATTTGTATAAATTGTCAAGGATCCTTTTATGGTGATTGGATTTTCTGTCGACATACCTGTGGTTGTATGAATGCTTAGTGTATAGTTTATATATACCCTTACTCAGGTCAAGTGTAATGTGTAATGTCTAGGAAATTGATCACTTTACTGTTATTATTGGTGATAATATTCAGTTTATGGTTGTTAAAGAATTTAGTTAGGTCCTTTCTCATGCAGTCCACTTATCTTGCTTTCAGTTTACAAAGCAGAATTATCCTGCTGTTGTTTTTTTTTTTTTTTGTTGTTTTTTATGCCAGAGATAAATCTGAGCCCCCATAGTAACAGTATCCCGACAAGTTCGCAATGCTTCCGCAGAATCATGTGCTCCTATGGATACGCAAAAATTTGGGTTATTTCCCTTAGTTCACAGAGTTCCATTGGGGTATAGTATCGGTTCCTGTGCCTGTCTTATTATATTTACTTCTTTGTCAGAAATATGGCAGTAGCTCTTTGTTAAATTAATAGTGGCCATCAATAGATCTTTCCTGATGGATGGGTAGAAGTCATAGGATTCAAACTGCAAAAATGTGCATTCCTCTTTATTTTTTATATTACCGAACCATTCAATAGCTTCAGCTGTACTTTTGCCACTGGTTGATACCAGAAGCCTTTTTAGTATATTTGCATGCTCTTTCCATAATAGTTTTGCTGGTAATACCAATGTTATTTTGGGATGGATTGAGCAGTCAGTACTGTGGGTTATTTAAGAAATTCTCCTTGTGGTTCTTAATCATGACGATTTCCTGTTTGTGTAATTTTGGTATTCTATCGTCTATTTTCCACTTGGTCACTATTGCATTGGCATCACAGCTGGTAGTTTTTTTTCTCAGTTGTCTGCTTTTTTATAAAATTTATTCACTTCTGTATTGATGGCTTTGTGGGATAATTTTGCGTTGATGTAATAGTGGCTACTAGTCATATGCGATTTGATAATTATCTTATTAGATTTCTTGATCTTATCAATGTCATTTCACATTTTATGTTGTAGGTCATTGGTACGGTTATTAAATATAATATTATTGAATATTGAGAATAACTCTTTTTAATTCGATAGTAGTTTGTCTCTTGGTGGAGCTTTTTTGTGACTTGAAACCATATGTTTTTTTTCATAGTCTTGAAGTTTCTTATATCAGTTTAAAGAAGAATTGCTTTCATCTCATCCTTATATATATATATATATATATATATATATATATATATATATATATATTATAGCAAAGAATAAGCGGAATGTAAAGGACATAATTATGAAAACTAAGAACTAAAACAAACAACCGGTTTCGTCCCAGTACTCCTCAAGTTTGATACACTGGGATTATTTAATCATAAACTTAAAAACAAAAAAACCATTCAATGAGGGAAAAAAAAATTTTTTTTATATATGATAGAAAGAACTAGAGCCCAATCACATTCAAGCCCAACAAGCAATCTCTCTGCTTACAGAGAAACGGCCTCGCGGGACTTGATGTAAATAGACTCAAGAACCTTCAAATGATATGCAGAGGTGACTTTTTCAGAATGGAAAAACAGTCAACACTCAAACCAACAACACATTCCTGTTAGTTATAGCGTGTTCCGCTATAGACGACCGGATGTATTCACTAGTTGGCTTTTTGTTAGCGGCCGGATTTAAAATTCTCGGGGTAAATGTTGTTTAATTCTAAAATCCAAACGCCAGACGTTCTGCCTATGTAGTCACATCTGCAACCACATTTAAATTTATATATAACTGAATTAATATGAAAGGGAGGCAGAAAATCCTTGCGCCTGGAAGAAAGAATTGGTTGAGTAAAAAATATTACTCTCACATTAGCAGCATAAAAACACTTACTAACGGAATGTGAAATTCGCCTTGCTAGTTTTTCACCTTCTCTGCCAATGTAAGAAAGTCGTAAATAAATTGGACATTTCTTAACAATATACGGTCTATCCTTACTAAATTTATCAATGACATCATGCATAATGGAATCCAAAATGTCCAACAGATACCCATTTTTAGAAAGAGTCATTTTTATAAAATCCAATTCACCGTAGAGGAAGGAATTTCAGCAAATTTTAAGAAAAGTGTTTGTTTTAGTTCTTAGTTTTCATAATTATGTCCTTTACATTCCGCTTATTCCTTGCTATAATAAAATTTTGTACCTGTAAGAATCTTTTCATATATATATATATATATATATTACACACACATTATTATTATATAAAATAAATAATCACCCACTTCCTCTTTCACCAATTTGAGTTTTGCTTGAAATTATGAAGGCCTCAGGAATCAAAATGTTTATTTTATGTTTATTCTTTCTTTTGACAATGGAGGAGTTGGTAAGAAAGTTCAGCAAATTCATTAGCTCATCTTAACCAGATGTGGTATTTCTTATTATACATCTGTTTGGAACAGAGAATTCATTCAAGGTAATGCCAGAATATATTATATTTGAAATATCCCTAAGAAACTTTAATAAATACAATTGGTGATCACATCATCCATTATATGCAGAGTGACAAATTCAACCATCCTGGTACAATTATTTATCAATGATTTAAGATCATATATATATATATATATATATATATATATATATATATATAATCAGTTCCAACACCTTGCCCCCAGCCTCCTAAAATTGTTAGCAAAAGGTAAAATCTTGACAAAGATTTCTGAAGAATGTAAATCTACAAATTTTAACATTATAACAAAGATAAGTAAAACTCTAGTGGTTTTGGATGGATGGAGATATTCATGTACATTATAAAGTCTGTAGCCTGATTATCAAAAAAGCATTTTTTGTGCAATAAATTGTTGTCAATGCACTCAATTTAGTTGTGAATGGATAAAATTATACAGCAAATATTTCAGATAAAAATTCAGATGTCTCAGGCTTTGTGCAGATATCTATATAGAGAAAGAGACATTCAAAACCACTTTGCATTAAATTTTGTGATCTTTGGACAGTCAGTGAAAGATTTAGACAGGATTTTCAGGTCAGGAAATATTTTTGACTTCACACCGATATTCTGGATGCTTCTACGTTGTTGCTCCATAATCCTGTACATCATTTTTCTCTTGGTTTTTAAGGAGCTTAAAAAGAAAAAAAAAGATAGAGAAAAACAAAGTTAAAAATGATCAAAAGTATCCGACATGAAAATTTCTTAATAGATGCATGCAAACAGCTTGATTTCTCAATTATATTAAAAAAAAAAAAAAATCTTTTTGATGCAGAATCAGCCCCAACTGATGAGCATTCAGTTTAACAACTATTTTGAAAAATTTTTTTTCAAGTTTACAAAATAAATGTAAAAACAAAAGTACTATTCTATATATTATTCAGACTATTATTTTTGTGATAAAACTTTTCAGTGTTTAAAGCTAATTCTCGTTCACCAGAAAAGCATTTTCTTTCCCATAATTAAAAATAAAAGATCAAATGAATATCAAAGTCAGCAAAGAAAAGTTATTTTCTGCTCACTGTCCAATCAGAAGACAAAAATAAATTATTTTCTACTCATTGGTCAGTTAGAAGTCAGTAAAAAGAAACTTTATTTTTCAACCAATTCAATCTGCCAAAACTAATCCTGTTAACTGAAAACATCTACACTTGACACACCAGCTTCTACAATTGGTTCACAACAAGGCATTCACATTCTTTCACCAATAAAATCTATTTCTGTATCCCTTATCACTATATATATATATATATATATATATATATATTTGGTTGATAGATGTGATTTGTGACCCTGGGTTTCAATAACTTTTGAAAATTAATCAGACAAACTGATTAATGTTTTAAAAATTTAGGTTTATGTAGATTGTGTATTGAATATTTATTGTGGAAGTGGTGGGAGAAACTTTGTCCTTTTGTCATTCATCGTACTAATGCAAACATCGATGTTAAAGACACATATACATACAGGGTCACAAACTTTCATCTATCCAACCAAATATGTTAGCTCTATCTCTGATATTGAGCGCTTTCTAATAAGTACTACATGATATAATATATAAAATAATTATACATATATATATATTTTATTTATATACACTTTTCCATATATATATATATATATATATATATATATATATATATATATATATATGAAATGTCTCATGGACTAAGCCCTAATTCAGACACTAGCAGTAATAGAGCCTGAAATTATTATTACCATTTATAATTATTTCTTTCTCACCAACTGTATACTCCACTAGCATATCCAATTCACTATCAATGTCAGTTTATTAATGGAAATGAAGAGAACAGATTGGAAAATATATGAAAAAATGAAAACATTTTTCTCATCACTTCAGGCTATTCCATGACGTCAGTGGGATTTATTGGGGCCTCAGAGGAATTCTTACATCTTTTGTCTTGAAAAGAACCCAGTTACCCAAGTTGTATGCTGAAATGAAATAATTTTTTTCTAAACTATATTTCTATTAGTTAGATAGATTCTGAAATCTTTTCACAAATGAAATTCAAAGTTCTTAAAGGCTTGTCTTTTCGTAAATTGATATTGCAGTAATTTCTATAATAAATATTTTTCACTAATAGTACTAATCTGTTAAAGCTTTGAATGAAATAACCAGAATATAAAACCTTCAAATTATTTAGTACCATCAATTGATACTGTACAGTACTAATTAACCAAGCATTTGAATAGAGAAACGATCATTATCAATTTATTATATCAGTAGTTCTCAAATGGTGTGCCTGGGTACACTGTTGCACCCTGGAAGATGTCTAGGTGCGCTCTGACATTCCAGAGAAATATGTGTCCATATATCAGAAATAAATATATTTACTTTATTATATTGCGGTATCCATCTTGTTGCAGATAGCCTTCGAGGAAAGCTTCAATGATAAGAAGCTTTTGATTTGCTGTATTGAACTAGTAGGAGTTGCTGGTAGGTCCTCCATGCCTAGTTCGAGAAAGTTGATTACTAAAAGATGTAACATACAATGATGACGAGGATTAGGATTGTTTATTCAAATGTTGTCTTATTTATACTTTCATAATAATTTATCATAATTCATTATAAGCAAATGTGATAAATTAGTTACTTTATCATAAAAACGTCAATCGGGATAACTTATTCTATGCAGTGGGTGCGCTGCAATATCATTTCTGGATTTAAAATGCAAACGATTTCAGTCTGCATTAAAACATTCTTTTCTTTTTTCATTCAAAGAAAACATTTAAAATCTGACTCAGCAACTGATCAGATTTCTACCAACCAATCATTAAATATCATTGAAGCTTGTCTTTCAGATTTTCTAGGGAATTTCATAAAACTTTAGAAGGATTTAAATTAGCGATGCTTAATCAAACAGACTGTTGTAGAAAATCATTTAATTATAAAAACAGTTCAATTAGCATAACTACATTTTTTTTGTTTTGTTTTTTCAGATGCTTTTATTTTCAGTGAGGGTCTTGTTTTGCGCAATTTATACCCCCCCACCCACATATATAAAAATAACATTACAGTATTTTTTAAATTCAAATATGGTCCCTTTCCTCGGAAATTTGTACAGCTCTGCCAACCAAGCATGCGCCAGTGTGGCTCTAACAGGTGTTAAAAGTGGAAGTGCTGTACATACAACTTATTTTCAGTTACAAAATGGATATTGAAGAATCCAATTCTAGAAATGAGCAAAACATAAGTCCAAGTAAGAAAGCAAAACCATGGGTTACTCGCAAATACAATAAAAGTTATTTAACATTTCCTTGATCCAATTACATGACATGCATAAAATTTAGAAATGACAGGTCACAAATCACCCCAGCAGTCAGAAAGCATTAGAATAGTCTTGTTTGAAGATAGAAAAAAACAGGAGGATTCAAAAGCCTGGAGATTTCCCAGATTTCACAGTACCAAAGCCTGTAGCCCAATTAAAGATATATAAAACAAAAGAATGAAAAAAGAAGAAAAAAAAAGAAAAAAAGAAGAAAAAAAAGAAAAAAAAAAGAAAAATGAAGAAAAAAAAGAAGAAAAAAAGAAAAATGAAGAAAAAAAAGAAAAAAAGAAAAAAAGAAAAATGAAGAAAAAAAGAAGAAAAAAAGAAGAAAAAAAAAAGAAAAAAAAGAAGAAAAAAAGAAAAAAGAAGAGAAAAAGAAAAGAAAAAAAGAAGAAAAAGAAGAAAAAAAGAAGAAAAAACAAAAAAAAACACAAACAAACAACAAAATTTAGAAGACCAGGTAAAAAAAAGTTCAATGTTAATGTTAAGCCACACAAACTTTTCTATTTAAAATGAATTTGGTTACTGCAACATTATCAACAAGGACAACTAATCAAAATCATTTACTATATTTGAAAGCATATATATTGTTGCAGGTGGAATAAGTCAACTTATTAAAGCACAAGTTTACATTAGCTGAAGGCTATTAGTTCAAAACTTGTAGCTGGGTAGTAAATATACATTTGAGCTATTTAACATGTATATAAGATGTACACTTAAATTTTAAAAAGAATTTGCATATTACATATATATATATATATATATATATATATATATATATATATTCACTAAGAAGTTAATGTCTAGAAAGTGCTTTAATCACTAGTTCAGCTAGAGTAAATTTACGTCCCAGTTTTAACAACATATTACCAATCTTGGAAGATTTTCTATTATCACAATGTGGAATATTTATAAACAAAGATGATGGAAAGAAAAAGAATATAGATGAATTTGGCTTGATTGTAAAATTATTTTAAAAAACCCACAAAGGCATGGCGTGTGGAATTAGAACAATCTGTGAGGACTAAAAGGGTTTGGTTTGAAATTACAATGTATATCACCTGACAAAAGTTAGAGTGTACAATGCCTAAAATGTTGTGAATATGACAATAAAGATGAGGACAACAATCTGTACGATGTAAATAGTGTAAACAAAAGATAGTTATTCTAGTTTGTTTAAATAATTTGTAATAAGTTTACTTCTAACCATGTAAATGTCGTTAAAATATATCACAAGTAAAAAAATATTCAAGAAGGGTATGGGAGTCATAATCCTGCCCTGGGTATCTGGTAGCTTTATATTTACCTCAATGCTGTAAACTACTGTGACTTGTACATACCCCAACTCCATTATACTGCAATATTATTTACTCAAATATCATTATTACTATCACTGCACTGTCTAATTTTTTCTTCTATGCTGTAACTGCATATTTCAATAACAATAAATTCTTATTGATAAGAGTACAGGTCTGGTTTAAAATGTCAGCAGTTCCTCGAGGCAGTCAAAGTTAAAGTGATATTTGGTTTCATTTTAGGACGTGTATATATTTGCGGCAAATATCATAGTTCTTGTAAATATCCTTTAGAAGATCTTCAGCTTCCTGACCGACTTTGCCTGCTGTTTTAATAAATTTAACAATTTTTCCTGTGCAGCATGACCAAATTGTTTATGTAACTTTAAAAGTATAATTTCTTTTGTCACTTCTTTCCATGTTGCTATCAACTATGTGAACAACATTTTCATCATCGGTAGTTTTCTTATCATTTCTCATGATGTTTACACAATAGTGTCCCGTTGATGTGGTTTGAATGTTTACTTTCTGACCAAACATCATTACGTGATCTTTTTCAATGTTAATAACTGCTCCTGCATTAGCTAGAGATTCCTTACTTAACAGCAGTGGAATTTTACACTCTACAACTTCTGTTTTTATATTACATAAACAATTGCCAATTTTTGCTGGGAAAGTAACAGCTTGATATGAGTTAACTGTCCTTTCATCTCCAAATTTAAATGGCACATGACTTTTCTCATTTTTGACAGATTTTAACTCTTCAAAAGATAGTGAATTGAGCATGGAATGCAACCATTTGCTACCACAAACTGTTTTGGTACATGCACTATATACAATTATGGCATTCTGAGCTTCCATTGCCAAAACATCTTGATTTGATATCTTGTCCAACAGTTTAGCTTCTGTCATCAAAGTCATATGAACTGTCTCTTCTGAATGTTTCTCTATATTTTCTGTTATATTAACATCTTTGTTAGCATGTGGACAGTCCTTTGCCCAGTGATATGTTGATTTACTTCACATCTTGATACCACTCCATTAAATACAGGATTCATTCTTCCAGGGTCTCTTCCAATGGTCTTTCTAATGTGTTCTTTGTATCATGCTCCTCTATACATAGATCCTCTAAACGGTTCCCTGCCTCTACCATAATTTTTGGTTATCTTTGCTTCTTTTATCTCCATTATTTATCTGCAGTTCTGTTTTGGCAGTAGTAAATATTCTGGTCAGAACATTTTTATGGTTTCATACTTCAGCCAACTGTTTTTGTTGTTCACTAAGATTTCCATTGTATAGCAATTTCAGGGTCAATAATGCATCAGTGTCAGTTTTTAAATTGGTACATTTCTATTTTTAACTGTCCAAACTCTACTACGTAGTCTAGCATTGATATTGCCTCAGTCTTCTTAAAATTTTCCAATTTTGTATAGGCTTCATATGTCTTTTCCTTTTCAAATAATTTATCCAATTCTATTAGAACATTTTTAACACCATCATCAGTCATTAGAAGAGATTTATCTATAGTTTTGGCAATTTCTCATGCTTTTCCTTCCAAGGAGAGTGTCAGTGCTATACCTTGTCTTGTCTATTTCAGTAAACATTTGCCATAATTGAACTTCCAATTTCCATTGTGAATAGTCTTTTTTACCAAATGTGAGTGGACATTTGTAAGTAATCATCTTTAACGCTCTGCTACCATTGATAAGAGTCCAGGTCTGGTTTAAAATGTCAGTAGTTCCTCTAGGTAAGTCAAAGTTAAAGTACCAAGAAAGAAATCACAGCAGTTTAAATAGTATCTAATGGCCCAATCCACCCTGGGCAGGAGGGGACATAAGTCAATGCTCTTGCTGCTGCTGATAAGAACAGTCAATTAAGTTGTGGATGGGGGATAACTGGTTATACTAGTTACAATAAACAATAGTTAACACTTACAGTGAGGGGAAACAAATATTCGTATGCATACAAATTTTTAATTTATTGTATTTCCAACTAATGAATAAACATACTTTTCATATAATTAACTGTACACAGATACATAACTAAATATGCATAGAAAACAGGAAAAATTTTGATTTAATAGAAATAAATCCCATTTATCGATTTTAATGAGTGAAAATGTACTCGTAGAATACAAAAAAATACATAATCTTCATTTAATACTTTGTAGAATAGCCATTACTCACTTCTGCAGCAATCAACCTCTTCTTGTAGTTCTCAATTATGATTTGCAAATTTTAGTTGGTATTTTGTTCCATTCTTCTCCGTATATAGTCTTCAGATCTGGGACGTTTGTTGGAGCTCTCAATTGGATTTGAATTTTCAAATAATGCCACAGATTCTCCACTTACTGTACAAGATATTTGCATTATTTTCAGCAAGCCATTTCTTTGTAGATTTTGTAGTGTGCTTAGGAACATTATCTTGCTAGAAGATCCAATCAGGAGAAAGTTCAAGATTTTCAACCAAAATCATTAAATTTGCTTCCAAAATATTTTGATATGCTGCAGCATTTATTCTACCATCTATTACTGATATGTTGCCAGTACCTTTTGCAGAAAAACATCCCCAAACCATGATGTTGCCACCACCAAATTTCACTGTTGGAACTATGTTCTTTTGTTTGAAGGCATTACCATCTTTCCTCCAAACAGGATTTCTAGAATTATGTCCAAACAACTCAATTTTGGCTTTGTCTTTCCATAATACTCTTTCCCAATACGATTTTTCCTTATACTTATGTTCATGAATGAATTTCAACCTGGCATCTATGGGTCTTTTCAACAGAAGCACAATTATAGATTGTTCCTATGAATTTCATTACTTATTGTCCGTTTAGTGACACAGATTCCTGATGAAAGCAAATCATCCTGCAACTCTTGATGAGTAACCATTGGACCTAAGTTTAATTTGATGCATTGATTTCCTTGAAGATCTTGAAGAAATCTGTGGAGCACCTGTTCTTTGGTTTTCAACAGTTTTGAGTCTTTTATACATTGCAAGGAATGAACTAATGGTAGTAAATGGAATATTCAGGTTGTCCTGTAACTTTTAACTTCTTTCCAGAGTTTAACAATCAGTTCTTTTTGCGAATTTGTCAATTCTTTACCTCTTGCCATGATAAGATTCTTGCATGAATACCAATTACAGAATGTTCCATTTGTATTTTTTAGGCTGAATTATTATTAAATTATTATTGGAACATTCTAGAATATTCTACTTGAATAATTTAGAGTATTAAAGCAGTTTAAATGTTTTAAAATTTGAAATTTGCATTATACAAATACTCCCCCCCCACTGTATCTATAAACACAATGAAATTCTCATCTCAATATTTTTTCTGAAACTGTGGTGGCCTTATCTGCCATCAAAAGATGTTGAAAGTTTCTTTTTTCTAAGAATACAGAGAGACTTAGAAGAGAAACTGATCAGACACTTTAAAATGTCATCAGGTAAGATTTAGGCCTAATTTATTAGTTATAGAGAAAACACCTAATTTATGAAAAACTTAATTCTGTTGCAAATCTAAAATTTGAAAGAATCTCAAAAGTTTTATTTTTTACTTCTAGAACAGAGTCAAGCTTCCTTATGTGTATGTCTTTTACTAACCGCAGTTTTGTTATTAGTAAGGTAGCAGCTATTAGTCTGCAGTCTGTGAATAGTACCAATAGTTATTACTCTGTTATTGTTAATTGTTATCATCAATTATCTCTATAGATAATAATTGTCATATTATAATTCCACATGTTCCTTAACTAGTTTGCACATATGTTACAGCCTGCCAGCACCTCATAAATAATGGATTATTCAGTTCTGAACATGTGGAAAGACTGAAAAGTCATATCAGAGGCACCATTTCTTTTCACTGAGAATAAAGAAAAAGAGATAGAGAGAAGATAAAGGAGGTGATAACACTCTTGTGTACTTAATGTCTGCTTCAGTGAAATGAAAAATTTGTTAATACTAACAATACTTGTGTAAATAAAATAACAGAAATAATTTGAAAGGAATGAATTTAAGTGCTTTATCTAATCAAAATTACAGATTATATTAACACTAATATTATTTGTACATAATAATATGAGACACACACACACTAATTGTTGCTTAATGTCTACTTCACTGAAATGGAAGTAGGGAAGAAAGGAGGGAAAGGGAAAGTAACAAAACAAAAATCAAAAAAGGAACAGAAAGGAATGGAAGGGAGAGGTAATAAAGAAATTTTAACAGTAAAAAGGTTATATACATATATATATATATATATATATATATATATATATATATGGACCTTTTTTTTTATTTTTATTCATGCTGGCTATATTTATTTATTTATTTATTTACACTACAAGCAAAGGTTTGGAGAACCCCTGTATTTCTTTAAAAAACATCTTAAAATGAGATATTTATTTTTTTTTGGTCAACCAACTTGTCTGATCTGAACTCCATAGAGTAACTATAGGCTCTTACCAAGTGGGAGATGATAAATACCAAATACCAGTGCCAACAATGTAGATGAGCTGAAGGCGGCTATGAAAGCAACCTGGGCTTCCATAATATATCAGCAGTGCCACATGTTGATCTGCTGCATTGAGGCAATTTATATTTCTGCATTATAAATACTTTTTTCTTGAATTTCTTATGAAATATTATAATATTTTGATAGAGGATTTTTCATTTTCATGAGCTGTAAAATGTAAGCACCAAAAGAAGCTTGAAACATTTCAAATGATAATAAAATTATTAACAATATGTAATGAATCTAGAATATATGAAAATTTCATTTTTTGAATTATGGGAGTAAAAAATGAACTCTTCTATTGTAATATTTTTTTTTTAGGCTTGATCCAATTTAAAAAATCTAACCAAATAAAGATCAGAATATATTTTCCATCCCTTCTTGGTCAAGCTGAGGATTTTTGACACTTTTTTATGCAATATATTATAGATAGATTTTTCAGAAATCTAAGGAAGGAAGGAAGGAAGGAAAAAAAACATTGAATTGTGGTAATTCAAAGCAGGGAAGTAATTGCAAGAAAAAATCAACCATTATTTTTGGAAATATTTAGGGTTCAAGGATTTGAAAAAACAAACCTTAGTTTTGCCAATGTTACCTGATGGCTTCATCTCAGTTTGCTGTAAACAATATCAGAAATGATTTCATTTAATCTGTTCTGCAAAAGTGCAGTACACTGAATGCTTTAATTAAGTGGCTGATCATGCTTCATCTTGTAAAAATACAAAATAATATATATATATATATATATATATATATATATATATATATATATATATATATAAACCAAGGAGACCAACTCTGGCAGTGAGTAATTGTGGGAAAAATGAAGACTAAGTTTATAGGGTTAAATTTGATCTTTTACCAACCATAAAATATTGTAGCTTCAGCAGTAAACTGTAACAGGGAAAAAAAGTTTCACAAAGTGAAAAAGGATAAATGTACAAGTCTTGCCAAGAGTTTGATTTTTATTTCTCATCTAAACTGGTTACCATAGACTGCAATAATTGCAATACAAATTGAAATTAAAATGAAAAACACTTCTAAAAAATGAATAATGCTTGATTAAAATAAGAATGAATATTGCTACTACTAATACAACTAGTGCATAAAACCAATTATATCAAATACAATACCAAGTGATAAAATAAAGAGCAAGTTTATATGGTTATAGTTACTCTTCCACCAGCTGCAGGCCTTATGAGCATCTATTTAATGATGGCTGCAGAACAATAGTCTGAATAGTCATGATAAAAAGCAAATAAAATTAAATATTGAGTTAGAACAACAGTTTGTAGCATTTTAAAATGAATTTCAAAGACAATATTCAGATATTTGTACAATGATTTATTCAACCCCATACGTCCATCCTCCTGGAACCTGGCATCTTTCTGATCAACTGGTCTCAGTGGTTTTTACAGGCTTCCACAATTGTAGTTCTTCCCAATTTGTATAGATCAAATTAAGTGGTAATCCAAAGGTCAGGTGAGTATGATGGGTCTCGTAGGACATTCCAGTCAAGCTGTACAAATTTCTTTTTTTGCCTCACATTGTTTTAAACAATCCATTTTTCATTTCCTGTGATCATTTTTTAAGAAATGTGCAATTCTTGTTTTCAAGCAGAGAATGATTTATTTTATGGAAATATTTCAGCTAGCAGTTGCTAACCTTGGTCACTCCTTAATTCGAGTAAAACAGTGCAAAGAAACTAGAAATGCTTAAGAATTATAATTAAGAAAAAAAAAAAAAAAAGACTAGTTGATGACATTTACAAAGTAAGAGCAAACTGAGTCATAAAAAAAAAAAAAAATTTCCTTTTTTACTCAACAAATTGCCATTTTTTTTTTCTCTCTCTCCATATCATATTTTTCTTTGGAGCAGAGAGGTCCAGACAGGATGGAGTTGTGCTGCATCTATCCTATTGCAGGCATTTTTTTGTCGTTGCTATTACCATTTGTTCAGCTACTCTTCTTTGATTGAAATGATTTTGCTTCCTCATTTTTATTTCCAGATGGTCAAAGTCAATTCTGTGACGTTCTGTAATGGCATGTAATGTGATCACTAAAGTTTTTTTTCCAATTTTTGTTTTTCGTTTTCATTTGAAACTACCTTATCAAAGTTTTCGATGTTCATCCAGTCGTTCTTTCAATGATTTTGAAATCAAGCCCACATAACTTGTTGAGCAGTCCATTTTTTTTTTTTAACGCTGTGATACTATTTAGCTATGGTAATTAATTAACTAATTAATCATAAAATTATAAGAAAATTTGAGAACTAAAGAAGAAGATATTAGATTTTTTTTTACGTTAAAATAAGATAGAGATACTTTTTCAAAAAACCTGGAATTGGTAAAGTGGACCTCACAAAGGCTATATACGAGCTTCAACAATTGATTAAATATTTGTAAAAGTACTGATTAACAAAACCTGAAAAGATAAAGGCACAGCCATACATGAGAAAATATTTGGAACATTGTTGATACAGGGTTGAGAATTACCTTGTTTATTTTTCCAAGATGTCATCTTCAGAACTGACATGTTAAGAGCCATGTGTTGATTATAAATTATGAGAAAATATCTTGAAGAATTTTGATTTGATATAAAGAAATTTATTATCAATTTATTTTTTTTTCTCAAGAAGCCAAACGTAATTTCATGAAGGGACCAGATGGCAGACTTTGACAATTGATTGATGAAGTTTGTAAAAAGTGCTGGTTAAGAAGACGCAGAGTAACGAAAAGATCTGAGAGATTTTAAGTGGCAATGTGTGATTTGTAAAAATTTTGGTCAGTGGGAAAGAGAATTTTGTAAACAAAAAATTCTGGGTTATAATTTTAATGAGGCCAGCTTAGCCATGCCTGCATGGCCAGGATGCCATTGGTTGAGTGGTAGCAATGGTGATAGGTGGAGGTAATTTGATGAGAAAGATGGGGAAATTATTAGCGCCCACTGAAAGGATTGGTATGAAGTATCAATGTGAGAAGTGGGGAGTTTAGGAGGATAGCTTTCCTACAACCTCTCCTCTAGGACAAAGGGATCCCCCCAAAATAGAAAGTGATTAATTTTCCAAAATGGGAAGTAATCAATTTTCCTGGCCTTTCAACAAAGAGGATTTACTGAAAACCGCAGACTGCGGCTAACCCTGCACCAGTTTTTGGTCAATATCCATATAAATGGATGTCCTCGGGCCGTTCGACAATTCGTGAGTTGGAGTCGACAGTTGAAGTTAGAGCCTTTGGAGTTGCAGGAACCAGAATGTTGCCTCGCAGAAGCTGACCAAGAGATTCCATGACCTCCGACGTTTACTTATCCTACCAAAAGCAAGTTATACTGACGAATGAAGCTAAGCAAGCACTTAAAAACTAAACCAATTGACTTAGAAGACCAGAACTTGCCTAAGGAAAGTAAAAATTATTCCTCCGTGAAAAGCAATTGGGAGAAAAACACACTCCTGTATATAACAGACAGATAAAAGTTAATTTGTTACTTTTAACATAGTTGAACCTCTTAGGTTTTTATTTGCTTCTTTTCTTTGCGCTTGTGCGATATCCCTCAATCTTACACTGTGACGGCCTGATTGATCTAGATCTACCTAAGATCAAAATCACAACATGGGTAGGTTAGACTTGAGATTGAAGCAGTTACTTCAGTAACCAGATATTTGGAAGTGGGCTGGAAACCAGAGCTGAGTGTCAAACCGTTTTTGGCTGGTGTGAAGCTGTTAGCATCACCGACCATCCCACTTGGTACCCCCGACCAAAGGATTCTGCCAGGTAGCGATGATCACTGATCGTCGGGGACACAGGCTGGTGCCAGCGACTAAGAGTCAACCCCCAAAACACTGGTAGGAGAAATATTACAGTTTTGCACTGCAACTGGGAATTGACCACGGGCCAACAGCTTAGTGTCACAACGCCTCAATTTGCCTTTACTTTGTAAACGTCATCAACTCGTTTTTTTCCTTGATTTGAATTCTTAAGAGGTTCTAGTGTCTTTGCACTGTTTTAATTAAATAAAGGAGTGACCAAGTCGAAATATTTCCATAAAATATTTGTTGGAACTACAAGTTTCTTCTTTTAATTATGCAAGTACCAACAGAGACCAGTATCCTAACTTTGAACTAAGATTAATTTAGAATAATAAATTAAATTTTATCTCATATCAGGACCAACTTTCTTGGCAAGCAAAACCAAATTAAATATGCTATCAATGTGCATTTAAATTGATTTACATCAGAAGCCATCATGAAATTCATCTGGGTTTTAAACAAACAAAAGCTTCTGAACACTTGTTTGTCTTAATTCCTTCGAAATTTCACCAATCACCTATGTAAGATGCTATTGAGAATGCTGCTGTTTTCTGCGCAAATCCCAGAAGATATTTTCAACACTTTCCTTCAAGATGGCTTCAAAATTCTTAATACAAAGGGAGTCAGGTGAATTTCCTGACCATCTGTCAAATACATATTTTACAAAAAAATAAATGAATCTTTTTTTAACCAATGTTGACCTCTGAATGAAGCATGTAACCAGTTTCTTTAATCATCTAGCTACAAAAAAAAAAAAAAAAAAGAAAAAGATAAATATTTATCTTTGTGTGCAGCTTGGGTGGTGTGCATAATTTATGCTGAAATGTCAGGAAAATCCAATAAAACTACAACTGTCACTAGCATTAAATTCCATCAAGGGTGGAATGCACATACTTTTCAGAGTGAAACATCCAGCTGTAAAATATGCTATTACTTGGAACATCCTGAGGGTCACAAGATGTGGTATATATGTAAAAATTCAAATAACTGAAAGTATATCTGTAAAAAGATGAAAAGCAAAAGAAAGACTTATCTGACATGTTTTGACCTTTGATTGACTTTATTAAGGCAAATGTAAGAATTTTATTTTGCAATTAGTATTTATACACAGAAATAAAAATGTTAATTTTTCAGAATTTTTAAATTTAACACTCATAAATATATTTTAGGCTAAATGAAAGTCAAGGTAACTTATGGAGGATAATAAATGATGTAATTTCATGACTAATAAATGAAAATGTGTTAATGTTATTGCTGATTATTTTTTTATAATTATTATTTCCATTTGAGAAATTAATTTATGTATTATATATTTTAAACTGTTAAATTCAGAACTTTCTATTACAGTGTAACCCGGATATAAGAGAGACCCGGACATAAGAGAGATTTTCTCTGGTCCCAAATTAGAGCCTGTGTTAATGTATATAAATTAGACCAAACCCGGATATAAGAGACTTCTTCTCCAGTCCCGACAACTCTCTTATATCCGGGTTACACTGTATTTAAAATATATAATACGTAAACTAATTTCTCAAACTAAAATATAAATAATTACATTATTAAAGAAAATTGATGAAGAACATTTACTCACTTTTGTTAATTAGATGTTAAATTACATCACTTAGCTTCCTCTATAATTTTCCTTTGAGTAGCCTCAAGTATATTTACAAGCTTAAATTTTAAAATTCTGAAAAACAATATTTTTACTTTTGTGTATAAATACTTGTTGCAAAATAAAATGTTTACATTTGCCTTGATAAAGTCCATAGGACGAAATGCATCAGCTAAGTTTTTAACTTTTCTTTATATATAATATATATATATATATATATATATATATATATATATAGAGAGAGAGAGAGAGAGAGAGAGGATAGGAAAAGCTGAAGGGCTGAAACACTATGATATAAACAAAGAGGAAGAGGTAAGCCTAAAACAAAAATCATTGAATGTTAGATGTCTTATCAACAAATTTCAGCTAAGACCATGAACAGTTTATGACAGTCCATTAATGAGGTAGAAATATGTGGAAATTTGTGTTCAAGTGTGTAAAAAAAGTATAAATCTATAAAGCTTATCTAAGCAAAAAAAAAAAATAAAACAATACATAATACAAAAAAAAAACGAAAAACAAAACTAGTAAATAAAGAAAAAGAAAAAAACAAAAAGAGAATAAAAAATAAAAACTTACCTGGCATGCTTCTTCAACATTTTGATATTTTTTGTCACGGTAAAATTGTCTTAACTTGTGTATATGAAGCATAATTATATCACAAACTATACTGGACTGCAAATAATAAGAAATTGAAAAACACTGTGAGGCAAGGATGAAAATATATGGGATAAAAAAATTTAAAATATCAGTAGCAATTATATATTAAGCACTTTAACCCATAAATATAGCATACCTTAAAAATATATATATATTATATTAATATACTTTTAACCCATACATATAGTATACCTAAAACTATATTTTATCATTATATATATATATATATATATATATATATATATATATATATATATTATAAGTTAATAAAGCACTTTAACCCATAAATATAGCATACATTAAAACTATATTTAGCATTATAGATATATATTTATATTAAGCACTTTAACCCATAAATATAGCATACCTTAAAACAATATTTTTTATCATTATATATATATATATATATATATATATATATATATATATATATATATATATTATATTAATATTAAGCACTTTCACCCATAAATATCTAAAAACTATATTTTAAAACTGTATTTTATCATTAAATATATATATATATATATATATATATATATATATATATATATATATATAATACACTTTTAACCCATAAATATAGCATACTTTTAAAAACTATATTTTTATATTATATATATATATATATATATATATATATATATTGCACTTTAACCATACCTTAAAAACTATGTTTTATCATTATAAATATATATATATATATTATATATATTTACCTATAAATATATAGCATACCTTAAACCCATATTTTATCATATATATATATATATATATATATATATATATATATATATATATATATATAAGCACTTTAACCCATCAATATAGCATACCTTAAAACTATATTTTATTATATATATATATATATATATATATATATTTTAACCCATACATATAGTATACCTAAAATTTATTTTTTTTATTATATATATATATTATATACTTTTAACCCATACATATATAGCATACCTTAAAATTATATTTTATTATATATATATATATATATATATATATATATATTATATATATATATATATTATATTTATATATATAATATAAAATATATATACCTTAAAACTATATTTTAATATATATATATATATATATAATGATAAAATATAGTTTTTAAGGTATGCTATATTAATGGGTTATATATATGCTTAATCTTACTTTTTTTATTATAAAACGCAGGTTGTTTGTGTGTGTTGTTTGTGTGTCTGTAACGTTTATATGTTGGATCGAATTTCCTACATTTTTTAGCCGATTTCAACAAAATTTCACAGGACTACATAAAAATTACCTTTTTGGTGGTTCTAACGGGGGCCGAAAATGGGAAAAGACAGTTGTTTTTTAAAAATCAATTTGAAAACGCTGACAAGACACATCATGAGAATGAAAGGGGACAACTCACCTTGAAAATGTAAACAAATGAGCATAGCATGATGAAAAAGACGCCGAACTTGACGAAAACAAAATTTTATCGTTGTTTTTTACATAAATTTTTTTTTTTTATCAAAAAAAAAAAAAAAAGGACAGATAATCTTACAATCATTTTTTTTCGACGGATAAAAAGATTAAAATCTTACTTTGATATTCTTTTTAAAATCAATTATCATTTTTTCAAAACTGATTTTAATAAAACAAAAATTATACTGTTTATTTAAAATATTTTGAACCAAGTTTAACTTAGCTTCTGTGCTGAAAAAATGTAATTTGAAAATAAAACAAAAGCAGGTCATAACCTTTCGCGTTTTGACGATTAGGGCACATTCATGACGTTTAGATAACTCACGGGAGGAGAAATTCTTTCTACAGATGGAAGGAAGTGAAATTATTTAAGAAACAAATTATTTACCTTGTTACTTTTAAGGAAAACTTTCAGCGCTCTAATTTTTTTTTTTTTTTTTTTTTTTTGTACTTAGCTTTTTTTTTTACGTTTACGATGCTTTATGGAAAATATAAAGAAATTAAAAATAAGACTGTTAATAGTGAGATTAAATTTCATAAGAAAAAAGGTATCTAATTAATTTAGGTACCTTTCTTATGAAATTTTTATCAGAAAATGTACATAAAATACTATAATTTTATGTACATTTATTACATTTTACTGTGTTATTTGTATTTCCATTCATTTTATTATTAATTTTGATATTTCATTTATGGAAAAATGTCAGATTAATATAAAAATAAGATCATATAAATTAAAGTTTAGCAGTAGTTAAATTTCATAAGATGATACTGTTAGTTACTTGTAGGTACCCTTCTCAGTTGAAATTGAAAAACTCAAATTAACTTCTCCATACGTGTTTCGCAAAAAAAAAAAGGGCTTAACAGCGGAGAACAATGCTGAACTCAAATAATGCAACTAAATTGTATTCTGGTTGGTCTTCCGTATTGATAATTACTGTCCAACTATAAACACAAAAAATTACATTTCTTAATTACCATGGTTAATCTGAGATTGGTCCAAATTATACAATTTTCAAAGCGCTAGACAATGACAATCTCACAC